AATTTTCAGAAGTTTGACAGTTTGTTGATGTGGGTACCTCATCCTAACTGTGGTTTGTTTACTCTATCGGTTTTCCTTTGTGAATTATCTGTGGGTTTACGTGTTTTCCCAAATTTGAAACGTTTTCAGCCATCTTTTTTTGCGTATTTTCCACTTATTCACCCTTCATGCTCTCTTTCTGGGAATACAATGACACAAGTTACATCATTTCCCCCACAAGTCCCTGAGGTCCTGTCCTTTTTTCATATTTAAACTTGCCATTGATCTTTGAACATTATGGACATTAAGAGCACCAACTTCCCCTCTAGTTGAAAATCCACATACAATTAACAGTAGACCCTTGGCAACATGGGTTTGAACTGTGCAGGCTCCTTTATCTGTTGCTATTGCAGTGAGCTTGTCTTGTATCTGCTTAAAGCGTAGTGTGATGCAAGTAATGCTGACAGCACTTAGCTCACTGCACTAACAACAGGGGGATAAAATCCACACGTAACTGGGCCTAGACAATTCAAATCTCTGTTGTTGAGGGGTCAACTCTATTTCCGCTCTCTTGTTCAGATTGACTAATTTTTATTGTTTAATCTGAAAATTCAATTATGCTTTTCTCTGGCTCCTCCATTCTGCTCGAGTCCTGGTACTGAGTTTTCTATGTTTGTTCTTATGCTTTCGGTTCTGAAAATTTCATTTGATTCTTCTTATGTCTTTCATTTATTGCTGAGACTTTGCTGTTTTTCTTTTTTCATTTGTTTTAAATGTATGTATCGTTGCTTTTTATTTTTTTAAATATTTTTTAAAGATAATCATTTTATTAGGAGGTATCATTGCTTTTTAAAGTATATTTATGATGACTGCTTAAAAGAACACCTTTGTTAAATAACTGTAGTATCTCTATCATTTCAGCAATGGCATGGATTGACTTTTTCATTCAGGTTGAGATCTTCCTGGTTCTTTGTTTGACGGTTGACTTTGTATTCCATCCTAGTCATTTTTGTATTATGAACCTGGGTCTTATTTAAGCTGACATCTTTCTGGCCTTGCTCCTGCAGGGGAAAAGGAAGCGCTTGACTTATTCTAGGTGGGGCTAGAAGTCCATTTTTCCTCACTTGGTCTCTACTGATACTCCTGGCTGAGGGTAAAGTGAAGAGAGCTCCTTATGATTGCTGGGTGGGAGTCAAATTCCTACTGTTCATATAGTCTCTAATGACACCATCGTAGAAACGAGTACTGCTGTGTAATACATGGGATCATTATGAGTCACAATGGACTTTATAATTTTTTCGATAGGTCATAGAGTAGTATAAATTATGGGATGTGTGATGGCAGGTTTCCCTCTCAACCCTAGGGAGAAATTTTCTCAGATGAGATTAACAGCTTTAGAAGCTCTGAAGTCCTAGGATGAATACGGTGCCTCCTTCCCCAGAGGCTGTGTGAGCTAGGCTAGTCAAGTCAGTAGAGATCTGAGACTATTAAAGACGTGGACCAACTTCCCTGAAAGTAGACCAGAGAGGAAAGTGCCCTAGAGAGGATTATCCAGGTGAACAGGATTCGTGTGTGGGTGTGCATGTGCACACAGATGGGTGTTGGCAGAAGCGGCTAGGAAGTCTCCAGTTCCCTAAAAACAGAGGTGCCAGGGTGCATTTTATCTTTGCTTACCTGAGTTGCAGTCAGACTATTTTCAGCCTGCAGCAGAAATGTCATGTTCCTCAAAGGTTTCATGGCCTCTGGCATTTCTGCCCTGCCCAAACTGCCACCACTAGCAGGTGTGGGTGACAGAGCAAGCCCTTCCTGTTACCCAGTTCCCACTTCCCAGGATTAAGCAGGAAGATTGATTTGCCACATTACGGGAACCTTGCTGTGCTCTGTGTGGTTGTCACAAGACAAATGGCCCCTGCAGCTTCCCTCCAACCCACCACCCAGTATTTCCATTACATTTGAGCGAGAGTCATGGTCCACGAGTTTGGGTATGGCTCATTTTCTATCTTCCAGGATAAACATGTCAGCAATCAACCAATCCATTACTTGTATGCAGGGAGTTCATTTGTAAGGCCACCTGGCTTCCTGGCACTACTGTTCTGCTCCCATTTCACTCTGTCTAATGGTCCAGGACCTAGTTCCTGTTGGTTGGGCCAGTGAGGCTGGCCTCTGTGGAGCCTGCATGTCTTCCAATAGCAAAGAGGTCTCAGCCCTACCTGAGGAATTTTTTTCTTCTGCCCTGAGGTGCTGAGCAGAAATGCCTAGGGAAGCTATTCTTTCTGGCCGCCAGACTCACACTGCACCCCAGGCTCTACTTCCCTGCTTTCTGTCTGAACAGGGTTGCTCTGGGCTTCCAGTGAACCTGCATCCTACCCTCTTCAGCCCATGCCCTCTTGCTCTGGGCAGGCAACTATTTCTTCCTTTCTTTAAAACTCCCTTAAATGTTTATTTTCATGACCCGAGGTCACCTTGCAAAACTCCCCAGGAATATCATACTCGACACAGTGCTTAATAGAGTTCTATTGGTCAGATTGGTTGTTTTATAGATTTTTAAAAATACATCATTTTACTGGGGGCTCATACAACTCTTATCACCATCCATACATACATCCATGTGTCAAGCACATTTGTACACTTGTTGCCATCATCATTCTCAAAACATCTGCTTTCTACTTGAGCCCTTGGTATCAGCTCTTCGTTTTTCCCACTCCCTTCACCACCCTCCCTCCCTCACAAATTGTTGATAATTTATAAATTATTATTATTTTTCCATGTCTTACACTGTCTGATGTCTCCCTTCACCCACTTTTCTGTTGTCTCCATCCCCCAGGGAGGGGGGTTATATGTAGATCATTGTGATCAATTCCCCATTTCTCCCCCATCTTCCCCTTACCCTCCTGGTATCTCTACTCTCATTGGTCCTGAAGGGTTTATCTGTCCCAGACTCCCTGTGTTTCCAGCTCAGATCTGTACCAGTGTACATCCTCTCGTCCAGTGGGATTTGTAAGGTAGAATTGGGATCATGATAGTGGGGTGGAGAGAGGGGAAGCATTAAAGAACTAGAGGAAAGTTGCATGTTTCATTGGTGCTATACTGCACCCTGACTGGCTTGTCTCCTGCCCGAGACCCTTCTGTAAGGGGATGTCCAGTTCAGGCGACTATTTCTGAGGAGACATTGGTGAAGGCAAAAACCAAGCCTGAGCCTACTGACCTGACTCAACTATATAGGTGCCCATCAGATGGGGCCAGTGAAGACCAAGAGGCCCTGAGGAAGACTAAAAGGCCCCTGACCCCAAGAGGATCTTTCAGCTCCAGTATTCCCCAAACACTCCTCCCTAGAGTGAATCCATAAAGGTCTACAGGTAGGACCCTGGTATCTCCTTTCTTGGGATTTGCAAGTACCAAGAGAAAGGGTATGGGCAGTGAACTTGATGATTGCTTTCACTGGAGGACATCTGTGGATACCTACCATGAACCTGGAGAAATCAGCTGTGTAGAACAGGGGTTCACAGATGGTCTTTGCATCTGTGTGCTCTGGAGGTGCTAAAGAGACACTCAGGAGGGTCTTGGGGACAGCAACAGGCAATAAAGACTACATGGGATGAAGTAACCCAGGGAGATAGGGAAGGCCAGGGGCTGGCATAAACAGAGAGGACCTCGATTGCTAGATGCAGAGAAGGGCAGGGACCATTCTAGGGCCACAGCTGGGCTGTATACTGAGAACCTTGAGAGAAACAGAAGTGGGAGGGAGTAGCTGTGCTTAAGTAAAGACCCTGAGCATAAGGTGGAGGATGCCTGATTCTCTTGCACATCTCCATTGACCTCAGGAACGCATATTATCAAAGACTCAAAGAAATTGTGGAATTGAACCTCTGCTGGGAGTGGCACCTCCAGGATGGGGTCTGGGGAAAGGACTCTGGAAGAAGGAATTCTGACTCAGGGATCCCAGTGGGGAGGGAAGGACAAGAGTTGAGAACAGTGCGAAGCCCCCTAGGGCACACCATGACAAGCTGCAGTCATAAAGGGTGGGGCAGATAGCTTGTGCAGAAGGCTACAGGCCTCGACTCGGAATCTGAGGACACAGAACTGGCTGTGGGAAATAGCAGGATGCCATGCCAGTGGGTTGCAGTCATGGCCATTATCAGTCTCACTGGGCCAGCTTTCAAGCCTCCCATGCTCAATAGAGGTAGTTCCCTGAGGCAGCCCATTTGGCCATGCCCAAATCTACTCTCAGGGAAGAACTTGCATGCTTGATGCCCCATATGGAGGAACTAATGTCCTTGTTCACATTGCTTTATTGCTACATCAAGGTGGGCATTGTTCTATCTTCCTTTAGGATCACAGCCAGGGTTCTGAGCATTGTTTGGGGCTTAGTGTCAGGTGCAAGTTGCTGGCCAGGGTTAGGGTCCCTTCGGCAATGTCTCCTGCACAGCTCAATGAATTTTTGTCTAGGAAGCTTCACACTTGTGAGCCATTCCCCATAAGCTTACCCTGTAGCCCTAGCTCTTCCTACCCAGCTTTGACACAAGCAACAGCTGAAATGCTGTTACAGAATTTCATGTGTAATTGCCAGATTTTAATTTGACAGTTCATTTAAATGTTTGAAAATCATAATGCAGGACAATTCAAGCATGTCTCTGAGAAAGAGGTAGCTCATGGATGCCAAAGTGGGGATGGTGTTGAATCAGAAATTTGAGCCTTACCCACTAAGGAGTGGGATACTTAGAAGTGTACTCAGCCATGAAAACCTGTACAGCCATCTCTGCACGAGTTACATGATTCTGACAGGCAGGATCCATGACTCCACTATCTGGAAGGCACCTGCAGGACACTTGAGGATAAGTTGTGTTATTGTGGTTAGGGAGAGGCTGGAGGTGGGTAGGTGGAGGGCAACCCTGGCTCTAGACCTAGGTATTTGTGCTTAGGGAAGAGCATCATCCCTGGAGTGTGCAGGGTTTGGGGAGTGGACACCACACTTGGCACAGAGCAGGTGCTCAGTTCCTGCGTGTCCCGCCTACCCCCACCAGATTCCACCAATCGAGACTCGCTGGACATGATTGAACGCTGCATCTGCTTGGTGTGTCTTGACATCCCAGGGGGTGTAGAGCTGAGTGACACTAATATGGCCCTCCAGCTCCTTCACGGTGGAGGCTGTAGCAAGAATGGAGCCAATCGCTGGTACGACAAGTCTTTGCAGGTAAGTGCTGCATGAGCATGGCTGCCCATTGCACAACACAGCCAGTACCAGTGTTGTCTGTGGCTGTCTCTCTTGCTGGCCTTAGCTACCCAGGATGCTGGACTGCCGGAAGAGTTAAAAAACATGATGTCAGCTTCTGCATGGGCCCAGCCTTTCTCAGAGCAAAGGGCAAAACTAAACTCAAATTACCCGGCCCTTCTTTCAATTTATGGACACACCTGGGGTCCATGCCCCACAACACCCACCACACACACTGAAAGGTGGGTCATGCTAGGGGTCAGTGAGCAGAGTAGCCCCTCTGTAGTAAGCTCTCAACAAGAATCACATTTTATGCACAAGAAATATTGGCTGTTTTAGATGTCTGTCACCCTGATCTGGACATTTCAACACATCTCCCTCAATTCCTGTAAGGGAGGAGCAGCACAGAATTTCCATGGAAAGAAAGCTGTAACAGAATAAAACAGCTTATATTTTTTCATTCCCATGACATGAACCTAGAAATAAGCCGGCCTTAGCATTTACGTGATGTAGAGTAAAATAACCATGCAGACAGCAGAAAGATAAGGTCAGGTGATTCATCCCTGCTCCTCCATCTTTTCCCCCCACTTGTCAATTCTGAACCAAATCTCATCTATTTTTAAAACCACTACACTTTTATTGTGAATATATTAAAGGGAAAGGCAAACAATCTTGATACTCTGGGTTAGCAGCTCATATTTATGAAAATTTCTAAACAACATCTCATTTTTTCTTTATCCTTTACATTCTGCAGGATAGCCTTTTTACTTGTAACCATATTGATTCTGTTATTTTAAATGAGTTCTCTTGCTGCTGGGTTGGCTATTTTAGCCTCCGCCACTGGAGCTAATGGTTTACAATCTTTCATGGAGCAGCTGTGGAAATTAAATAAAATAATGAGTGCTCGGGTCCTGGCACAGAGTAAACCTTGGTAGCAATTTTAAAGATACACATTTCCTCCCTTTCTTTCAGTGACAGAAGCAGAAAGCAGAAATATTAGGGTAGACACAACTCCTCTCCCTTCCTTGCCGGGACCAGGGACCTCCTGATACTTCTCACATCTCCTTAGCTCCTGGATTTTTTCCTATACTTGTATTATATGATTTGGGGAGGGCATACATATTATATATATAGGCTAGCTGGAGAAGGCAAAGAGGCTATATGGACCTGAATTTGAAAAGATCGAGAGCTAGTTTCTATACCGAAATGCATAAAAAGCAACAAAATGAGAGAAGTACCACAAAGGATGAATTTTCGGAAAAACTTTACAGGTTTCTGTGTTTGGCTGTTCAGAGAATAGGCCTAAAGCAACTGCTACCTTGTGGGAGAGACTGGGCAAAGGATGCGAAGAAAGACAATTCAGGGAATACGCTGAATGTTATGATCTCCTCTCTGTGACTGGGAGGACATGCGAGGAAAGCTCTATGGATATTGGAAGGTTCTGTTGCATGGGATGCTGTGCAGAGATGAACCAAAAGGGAGCCCAGCTTTATTGGGGCTTCACTTTAAAAACCAAAGCTCACACCTTCTCATCATTGTCTTCTAGTACTCTTTGCCCGGAATGTTTCTTTCCCTAGTCAGTTCAACACAATTTTTTTTAAAGAGAAAGTTATAGAAAGTCATTAACTAATCTTGACAGTTCATCTAGATCTTTTATATCTATTCTTATATCAATCCTGTGAGCTGGGAATTATTAGACCCACTTTAAAGGAGAGCACAAGCAAGTCTAAGGGTTGAAGCACCCTCAGGGTGTCACACAGGCGCTCAGAGGCAGCAGCAGAACTGGGCTCAGGCACCGACACCAAGTCAGAGGAAGTCTTTAGTGTACCTGCCCTTTACTCACACAAAGAAGCATTTCATTTCTCCTTGGAAATGCCATCCACGTGGAATACAGGAATACCTTGGAAATATTGTGGCTTTAGTCCCGGACCATCACAATAAAGTGAATATTACAGTAAAGTGAGTCACACAAATCTTTTGGTTTTAGAGTGCATAAAAAAGCTACGCTTGCACTATATTAAAGTCTGGGAAGTGTACCATAGCGTTATGAAAAGAGGTGAAATATTGTGAGAGTGACCAATGTGATGCAGAGCACATGCTTTTGGACAAAATGACCCGGAAAGACCTGCTCAGTGCAGACCTGCCCCCACTTTCAATTTGTAAAAACCACGTGATCTATAAAGTGCAATAACACGAAGGTTCATAACATAAGGTATGCTTATAATTCTCTACCATTCATTTGTCCAACAAAGCCATGGTGCATTTACTACGGGGCTGGCTCTGGAACAAGGAGTATGATCAAGGGTGGCCCAAACCAACAAGTTCAATCAAACAAATATTCGCCTAGAGGTATGGCTGCAACGTGCCTGGAAGGAGGAGAAATTGGGCTAAAAGAAGGCTAAGTGCTTGCCCAGAATATGAAACGCATGTGGACAGACTCATAAAGAGTCACTAGCTTGTTTCAATTATGGAACTTTGAGTTCTACCTTCACTGCCGAGAACATTTACTGGAGGGAGGCTGCAACATTGAGACCTGCTTTGAGACTCCCATAGTCGCGGGCTGCAGTGATTGTGCACGGCATTCATTGGGGAGATGATGTGTTTTGGTGTCCTTAGAGGACACCTGGCCTGGAGCCAAGGCGCTGGTTTGGAATGCTGTCCTGTCTCTTCCCTCTTTCCCTCTGCAGTTTGTGGTGGGCAGGGACGGGGTCTGTGGCGTGGTGTGTGAGCACTCCCCTTTTGACGGCATCATCCTAGTGCATTGCACCGAGCACCTGCTCAAGCACATGTAAGTCTGGAGGGCAGGGTTCTTCCAGAGCAAAGCTCTGCTGCTGAGAGGCTGCTATGCTGGACTGGAGAGGATTGGGGTGGCTACCTGGGGCTGCATGCATCTGGAAAGTCTCTTAGAGCAAAATATAAAATTGAAAACTAGCTTGAATGGGATACCAAGTGCTTTACCAGACAGGGGGAGCAGAACTCATCTGGGACACACATTTGAAACAGTTCGGGAGAGGGTAACAGAGAATTCCAGCTAAATGGGAATGTTTGTTTTGGTCCAGAAATACCCAGACCAATTCCTATTGCTTGTCCTGGGTCAGGGTCCTACCAGCTGTTGACTGAGTGAAGCAGGGAGGTCTCTTCATGGGGCCTCTCGTGTTGGGTCTCTCTTTAGCTTCAGAGTTGGCCAGATTGTAAGGGAGTCCCTGACCCATTGGGACCTCATGCTTCTTCCAACATTCACCATGTTGCTCATTCTCTTCTTCTAGAACACCCTCCCTGCTCCTAAGTTCTAAGTCCCTTCTGCCCTTTAGGATCTCTGAAACAAAAACCAAAGAATCCTGAGTGATACAAACAGGTAAACACTTGATTGTGAACTGAAAGAGTGGTGGCTTGAATCCACCCAGAGGTACATCAGCAGAAAGGCCTGGTGATCCGATTTCCAAAAGATCTCAGCCAGTGAGAGGGGCAACTCTCATGGATCAAACAATATAGTTGGGGTCTTTAAAATGTCTCTGAGTGTGAGAAAAGTGTTACTTGAGTAACATGAGCTGGCAGGAAAAAGACAAGATACAGTAGACCTAGAATCAGATGGAGTGGGGCTGAATCTGAGCTCTGCCACTCACTGAGTCTGATCACTTCTCTGAGCCCCTCTTTCTTCCAATGACTCGAGGGCAAATCATAGCATTGAAAGTCCATGACTACCCACACCAGCAGTGAAAATAATGGCAGAAATCACTGCCTCCCAGTTGACAGGGCACCAAGCTGTCCCCTCTGTGCTGGCAGGAAGGAAAGCAATCAGAAGCTAGTCCGAGCAGACTCTGTCAGTGAGCTCCCGGCCCCCAGGAGGCTCCGGTGGAAATGCTCCCCTGAAATCCAAGGCCACCTCGCCTCCTCTGCAGACAAGCTTCAATGGTGAGTAGCAGCCCCAGGGTCCTCGGGAGGAATGGGAGAGTTACTGTGTTCCCAGCAGCTGCGAAGGCACCTCCAAATCTCCAAAGACCCCAGCTCCACTCTGTCTCTCTCGTTGCAAACCTATCATGTAAATGTAATCAAATTATAGGAGAGTTATAACTCCTGGGGAAATAACCTTGCTGAAGTATCCATCATTTTCATAAAATGCAAATGCTCAGCTTTTTTTGTTTTGTTTTGTTTCACAGGTTTCACCTGACTGCTCCAAGTCAAAGCCAGAAAGTCACCCCTACTTTGAGGGGTATAATAAACAACTAGTTTGAATAGGTTATTTGAATCCAAGTTATTTATTTGTTTGAATTTACACTGCGACTTGACAAGGGGGCCTTTTACTCCAGGTGCAGAGGGGCAGGTCTGTCCCTAACGAGACAGAAGAGGGAGGCTAGAGACAGTGTGGGCAATCTGGGGTCTTATCATGTGCCTGGCATTTAGCAGTGGTGGAGATAAGGAAGAAGCCAGAGACTACAATTGAATCTGGTCCCTAATTGTTCATTCCTACATTCTGTGGCTCAGAGGCAAATTGCTATATTCATTCATTCATTGGATCATGAAATGTGTGTGTGACTGTAGTCAGGATTAGCTCTGATAAGGTTCTGGGAGTGAAGGGCATATACCTCTTTGTAAGATACAATAATTAAACCAAGGACCTAACCTACAGGGAAAGCAAATGCTAAGCCCTTCGAGGAGAGTGAGGAAGGCTTTTCAAGGGAGATGGAGCATGTAGTACATTTGGATGGGAGCAAGAGGCAGAAGCAGACATAAAGGTTGATAGGAGAATCTGGCTGGTGTAGAGACAACAAGGGGGAGCAGCACCTGAGTTAGAGCCCCAACGAGGAAGTGAGATCAAATTGTGAAGAGTATAACTAGCCTTGTATGATGGAGTCTGGCCATAAGGAGCCCTGGAGGAACCTTTGTAAAGGGTTCTAGAAGCCAGTGAGGACACTTGGTCAGAGTGCTGGGTCACAGAGGAGAGCCCTGCATGAGAGCAGAGAAATGTGGAATGTGACACCCCTGAGTCACTGGAGAGGGCTGGCAGGCTTTTGTGGCACAGGCAGAAGAACCTCCGCTTTTCCTTTATGAAATGGGCTGGTTTCTCAGCCCTGGAAGGGTTGTGTAGGACACATGAGCAGTCAAGTGAGCAGACCTTCCCAGCATGTGTTAGGCAGAAGAAAATCCTGCTTACTGTCAGGGATTCAAGCAGGCCCACATGCTCCCAAAGCTCTCCATTTCTCTCTCTTACAGAAAATGAGGGGAGTGGGGAGAGGCTAGTGCTCTTCAGCTGTTTGTGGAAGGATGAGGAGGCTGGGTGAGCAGTTCGCAGGTGGCTATGTGGAAGGCTGGTGGCGACTCCGGAGGAGCCCACATGTGGCCGGTACAGCGGTGTCCCATGGGACTCGCAATGACTGAGCTTTGGGAAGTAGATTGCCAGGCCTTTTTTTTTTTTTTTAAGGGACCTATGGATGAACTTATGCTTCCACCATTTTGATGAACAGCCTAATGTTGGATGACGTAAGCAGTTCATGAGGAGCAATCCAAGGAGGGGCAGCAGGAAGGGTGAGGGAGCCGTGCACTCACCCTGCAGGGTTTTACTCCAGGGGGATGTCAATGAGCTTTAAGTGTCATTCTTAAGGGTGAGAGGTCATGTGGAGGGAGAGCCAGGAAGAAGGAAACCAGAGTTTTAAAGATCAAAGTGCAACGAAGGCCAGTTTCCGAATAACGTGGGTTCTGAGTTGCTGGTACAGCTACCCACAACACTAGCTGTGGGGACAGTTGCGTCCTTAACCTCTACGCCTTTCCTCTCCCAACACAATAAGGCTTAGTCTGTAGGCTCCTCCCTGGACAGAGGGGAGTTGCCATGTCCCAACAGAATGGCCTGTGCCAAGAGAACACTCGGGGACGTTGAACACACCTCAAACAGACCAAATGAATTAACCCTTTCAAGCCCCTTCTGTGGATCACCAAAACCCAAACCAAACTCACTGCCATTGAGACAATGCTGACTCATAGCGACCCTCTAAACCAAGATAAATCTGCTCCTGTGAGTTTCTGAACCTGTGATTCTGTATAGGAGTAGAAATCCTGATCCTTCTCCTGAGGACCAGCTGGTGGTTATGAACTGCGACACTTGCCGTTAGCAGCCCAATACATAACCACTACAACACCAGGGCTCCTAATTCTATAGACCTCAGGTTTCTAAAATTTTGTTTGTGGGCACTGTTTTCTTTGCCAATGCAAAGGTCTCACCCTCTTGTGCCCATACCTGCTTCACTGCTGCAGCCTGGCCCACCCTGCCTGGGGAGTTTCACCCTCAGCTTCCAGTCACCTACAGTGTGGTGGCATGGACACATGTCACTGCTCTACAGCAAGGCCTGTCTCTACTCCTGGCATGATCCTGGGTCATGAGAACTGATCCTTATCTTCGGGGAGATAGATTATCAACTGTACTCAGAAACCTGTGACTATCCTGTTCCATATATAGCCAAAGCATCCTCTCTTCCTTCCACAGGATTGTGAAGAACCTTGACTTCACTGTTTATAAGTTCAACTTCTATGGGAAAACGTTTATTAAGCAGCAGAAGTGCAGCCCTGATGCCTTCATTCAGGTTGCCCTCCAGCTGGCCTTCTACAGGTGAGCCGAGCCTAACAGTGGAGTAAGTCTTTCTCTAGTGATCTGGTAGAGAAAATGTTAAGATCCTAGCATCTGAAAGCACAGTAGATGGAATTACGGCTTTCTATAGGCCTCGAGGAGGGGAGGTGATCATGGGAGGGGAAGTCATCTGATCTGGACTTTAGAGTAAGCATCTAGTCTCAGCTAGAAGGAAGAATGCTCCATGTGAGGAACTCCCTGAATAACGGCCTGGAGCAGTGGTTCTCAACCTGTGGGCCGCGACCCCTTTAGGGAATGAACTACCCTTTCACAGGGGTCACCTAAGACCATTGGAAAACACATATTTCTGATGGTCTTAGGAACTGAGACACCGCTCCTCTATCCATCTCCAGGAGGGTTCGCCCACATGCAGATACGCCCACCCAGCACAAAGACTGTTACCCATGCTGCACCATGCTTCAAGACAAAATTTCATTTATTTGTAATTAGAAATAAATATTTCACAACATATATTTACATATTATTTTTGTGATTAATCACTATGCTTTAATTATGTTCAATTTGTTACAATGAAAATACAAACTACATATCAGATATTTACATTATGATTCATAACAGTAGCAATATAATAGTTATGAAGTAACAATGAAAATAATTTTATGGTTGGGGGTCACTACAACATGAGGAACTGTATGAAAGGGTCGTGGCATTAGCAATGTTGAGAACCACTGGTCTAGAGGCAGGTTATCCAACAGCAAAGGGGAGACCAGCTGGGTGGTGAGGACTTTGAGGTAAGTGGGGCCCACGGAACTGAGTTGAGGAGCAAACCCACTGTGATTGAGGCATTTTCAACTCAAAGTGAGCTTATATAGGGTTTCTGAGATTATAAATATTTATGGAAGCAGACAACCTCATATTTCTCCCAGGGAGCATCTGGTGGGTTTAAACTGCCAACCCTGCTGTCAGCAATCCAGTGCAGAACCACAATGCCAGCAGGACTCTTTAATAGATCCCAAACAGCAACCAAATCTCCACTCAATACCCAGCTCCATCACATTCCAGAAGTTTTCTTGTTTTTTTAATGGTAATCATTATTAAATTGAAGGACATTATTCACTGGTGCATTGACTGTTATCTAGAATGTCACCCAACCTGGACATTTTAGTACCTTGATATCTCTGTGTCTCTAGGACCTTCCCCATGTTAGGCACAGAGTTGGCCTTTAGAAATGTATTAGCTGAGTCATAAGAATGAGATGACATTATAGAAAATGTTCAAGGGATGGCTGGGTCAGGTCTGTGATTCATAAAAATCCCCATGGTGGTAGATATGTGTTTGGGAGAGAAGAATAAGGAGATAAAGATCGAAGGCAGAGGTAGAGAACCAAGATGGCCTTTTATATGGAATTAACCCATGCAAAAAAGACCTTCCTCTAGGCAAGGGCGATTTATTTGACTCCTGAAGCTATGTAGTTTGTCTAGCACATACAGCTCAGAGTTTGTCTAGCACAGATAGTACCAATCTCAGTTTGCCCAAGAAGAAAATTGCCACATTCATGGGGACTTGCAGTAAAGCTGGGACTGGGAAGCCTCACTAGTGAACAGCAGAACCTGTATGTCCATAGCAGTCTCATGTCACTCAAGGGCTGTAACTCATAGGGATGTGAGTGCAGCCTTGTCAAGCCTCATCCCTACCAAACCTTTGGGAAAGGCTTATATCACACCAACCCCACTCCAACCCCCAGATAATATTACACAGATACTGAAGTCTCACTGGCATTTGAGATGGCACAAGACTTGAACTTGCAACTGCAGTCACTACCATTCTGATGGATACTCAGATGGCATATAACTGAAATAGGCCATGATTACTGATGCTGCCTTGCCCAATATCTCAGACCCCTTACCTGTGAGTGCCCAGTCTAAAGATAAGACACATTGTTGGATCGAGCTCAGATCATCTCTTTCTTTACTACAGTGCCCTGTGCTGTATGGGCATGCCTAAGAGTGGGTATGGCCAGAGGCTCCTAGGCTCCTGAAATAGCCATTTGTTTTCTGTGGATAAAATTCTTTCAGTTGAAGCTGTAACAACAACAAAACCAAATTATTAACTTCCTTGATTTGGCCAAAGAGTGGTGTGGTGGTCCCACAGTCCCACAGGGGTCAATATGAGGCAGCATTGACTCGATGGCAGTGAGCTTTTTTAGATTTGGCAGAGACCTTGAAGCAGTCTAATAGCAGCCAGTGGCATCATCTGCTTATGGGGTCGGCATAGTATTTGCCTCAAGAGACCACGAAAATCCAACCAAATGAGTTGAGTTCATCTTAACTCATGGTGACCTCATGTATGTCAGAGTAGAACTATGTTCCATGGGGTTTTCAACAGCTGAATTAAAAAAAAAAATAGACCACCAGGCTTTCCTTCTAACATGCCTCTGGGTGGACTTTAACCTTCAACATTTAAGTTAGTGGCAAGTACATTAACTATTTGCACCACCCAGGGACCATCAAGGACTAAAACACAAGGAAAGCACGTAGTGCAAGAGTCTACAGAAGACTGAACAGAAATGTCCACAGTTTATTCATTCAGATACCAAATAACACAGCACCAGCACAATGCTAAATCAGATATGTCCTCTGTCTGGGGGGAGATGTGCTGAGAGGGCCAAGGCATAAGGCCTGCTACACGCTGGGTTGCAATGGATGGTCACTGCCCCTCTTTGAGCTCTGGAACTTTCTACTTACCCACCTCCAACATGTATGGACTTTGCTGACTGGTGAAAAAGGAGTATTCAAGTAGAGGAATGCAAGCTGGGACCATGGGCTTAAGGAAAGAGGTTTGCTCTGGCTAAAAGTGGGGAATTTGCTGCTACTCTAGACCCAAGAAACAGTTCAGGAAACTTGGCACACACAGGTCTACTGGAAGGAGGCTTGACTACCCTTGTATCATTGTTCTCTAGGGCTACCTTAACAAATTACCACTAGGTGGGTAACTTAAAACAATAAAAATGTATGATCTCACAGCTCTAGGGGCTAGAAGTCTTCATTCAGGGTGTCACTAGGGCCGTGAAAGCTGTCAGGGAAGATCTTTCTTGTCTCTCCCAGCATCTGGTAGCCACAGGCTCCCTTGGTTCAAAGAAGCATCTTAACAAATTGGTTATTCCTCTCTATACATCTCTCCATCTCTTCCTTTTCATAAATACATTGCTCAGATTGAATTAGGATCCATGACTTAGTATTTTGGAGTTGTGAATGGCTACATTTTACGCTATTAATCCATCAGACATCAGATTATCACAAAATATCTAGTCTTCCTATTAGATCTGACTCTCCCCACCCCAAAGTTACCAGTCACAAATTAAAAATTTTTATATCCATGCAGAATTAGAAACTCTCTAACACTGATCTTTGGGACATCTCATTTAGAATCCTATTAACATAAAAACAAAATATCATCCAAAAGAGTCAGAACTGTGAAGATCAAGCCTGCTGCAGTTATTTTCCTTTTAGCATTTCTGTTTCCCCATAAATAAATTACTCTTGTTAATCCTACTTCACTTCATGTAGGTGCCATGGAAGGCTCATGCCCACCTATGAGAGTGCATCCATCCGCCGGTTCCAGGAAGGACGAGTGGACAACATCCGGTCAGCCACTCCTGAAGCCCTGGCTTTTGTGAAGGCCCAGACTGTCCACAAGGCCTCCACCTCGGTAAATCCTGCACAATCCTGAGGAGACTCCCAGAGAAGCCAGCACAGCAGCTGAGGGGCTGTCCACCTGTCTGGTTCTTGGATAAACACCTCCAGTTCTCCGTTTATCGTTAAGCAGACTCCTAATGCTTCATGTGCTTTCTCTCTGGTATGTTGACAGGACACAGAGAAACTACTGCTCTTGAAGGATGCCATCCATGCACAAACGGAGTACACAGTCATGGTGAGTGGCACTGCAAAGCCTCAGGCTTGAGCTCATATCCGCCGAGGCACCACACCACGCATGAGCTTGACCACCATCTTCCCGGTGATGGCAATGCCGCCGCTTGTGGTAACACCACCACTCCTTCCCACCCCACAGGAATCTTACAAGTATACGCTGAGCTATTTTCAGATAATAGCCACAATGGTAATAACAGCATCCAAACGATATAGCGCTTTAGAGTTGTTCAAAGAGAAGTGTGAGGAGATGGGGTTTGAGCCTGATAAATGATGTAAGACATTGTTTGCTCCTCTCTCCTAGGGCTAGGTATCACGTCTCCATGTGTGTATGTATACTACCTCTGGATGAAAAATATAGCCCTAGTAGCAAAGTGGGTTACAGATTGGCCTGCTAATCATAAGGTTAGCAGTTCAAACACACCAGTATCTTGGGAGAAAAATAAGGTCGTCTGTTCATGTAAAAATGTACAGCATCAGAAACTCCAGAAAACAGTTAAAAAACAGCAATAATCCAGGGAGCAGGAATAGAAAAAATTACTAAAAATCAATAGTGAAATCAAAATTGGAAAGGAAATATTTCCCACGTTTAAGGAAAAAAATAATTTTTTAGCTCTACATAGCCATTATTTGCATACAAACAATAGAAATAAACTGTTGCTTGGGTTACTGATCAATGTGCTAATTGCAAACCATTCTGATAATAGTTTGGAAGATCATATAATCTGTGAAAATATGTTGATTAAATGTCACTCTATATACTTGAAAGCAAGTGCAACATATTCCTGGTTTCTAGAACCAGCTAATTTAGGCATTTCTCTAATGCAGTTGCTAGGTCTCTAGTTCATTTGAATAGATATGTGTTCTATTTGGAGAAAGCCATCTTGTATCCAACAAGTATCTTTTGTTCTCCTGCTTTATGGCAGGTCAAGCTCTGGGTGCTAAGAAATTAAAGATGAAAATCCATATGGCATCTCCTTCGTGAGTTTACGGGGCTATGGTCTGCAAGGTCAGCAATTTGAAATCACAGTTGCTCTGTGCGAGGAAGATGGAGCTTCATACTCTTGTAAACAGTTAAAATCTCAGAAATCCACCAGAGCAGTTCTACCCTGTCCTGTAGGGTTGCTATGAGTTGGCATTGGCTCCATGGCAGTGAGTTTGTTGGGGTTTTTTGGCTTGGATTTGTTTTGCTAATGAGTTTCTTATCTAGTTGGGAGGACAGTATAGTCCCATAGGAAAAGAGTCCTCAAGAGGTAATCAAGAGCAACAATGAGAAGTGTTTCTCCCTGCTGGGGGAAGACTTCACAGAGAATCTGTTACTTTATGTGAAACTTAAAGGATGAAAAGGTGTTTGGGGGGCAGACCTCGAACAGCATATGTGGATAGGGCTAGAGTCTTGAGAGAAAAGTAATTTATGATGTAGAGTTTACATAGGAAAGAGAAGCAAAGACATTCAGGATTTCAGATTTATCTCTTACAAAACTTACTCTGGTAGACCAAGTAGAAGAAGGATTTGTCAACGGTACGTGTGGTTTGCCAAGAGGCAGAGTGTTGAGTAAGAGTTTATATTTAGAGTTGGTCACCAGAGAAGACCCCAAAGCATTGGCTGTGGCTTTGAGCTGGGGCATGGAGGAAGCTAGAACTGTTCAACAAGCCTGTATGCAGGAGCCCAGCCTGCAGCAGGCCCAGATCCAGAGCCTGCACTCGCTCAGGAAGACTCACTGCCCAGACAAGGGCAGCATCCCAAAAGAGCCCAGCAAGACCCCACCTAGCCAAGCTGGAGAGGTGTGAAGAAGAAAACCCGTGTGGCCCTTCAGCCTGATCCGTTTGGCCACCTGCACACTTTTTTAACCCCCTGCCTTAGGACGTGTTCTCCTGGAACAGGCAGGACAACTGGCTTTACGCCCCTGCAGAAAAGCCATTAACCCGTCTCAACAAGCACCAATCCCGTCCCTCTCCTCTGCTGGCATGTTGCTTGCTTTCTGCTTAAAAGTCACTGTGAAGAGCTTGTCATATTTTGGATGCACTGTCCTTGGACTAAAGGAGTCCCCGTGTGGCACCAATGGTAACCAAGAGGCTGGAGGTGTCCGTCCCCTCAGAGGCAGCTTGGTGGCCATTGGACCCCTGTGGAGCACAGTCCTGCTCTGATAGATGTAGGGTCTTAACTGCAATTGATCACTGGTTGTCCTTCTAAAAACAGAGGTGGTCCTTGTTTAAAACTGCAAACTATAACCATGAATCATGGGAGGGGAGGGAATAGAGTGTGGGTGAGGACTGTTTCACAAGTTAATGGACATGTTTGGCTGTTTGTTTAAAGACATTTATTAAGTTTACCAACCACAGGGACATAGTATAATTCACCATTTTGAATATCTAACTCAGCATTGTAAAATTATATCTGTTACCACTGTGAAACGTGTTTGTTTTCTAATCTGTTCTACCAGCAGGGGGTATTGAGGCCATTAAAGCTCATTCCCATGAGATATGGGGGGAAAGTATATAAAATGTGTAGTTAGGGGCAGTAGCCATATGACTAAAGCAATGACTGCCTGGGGTGACTATGAGGCAGACCACTTAAAGCAGCTAGCAATAGGACAGGGATTGAAGAGGAAAAGATACCCTTTTGATTAAACATTCGTTTTAAATATAAGTGGTTACCTTCACTTCATCGTGAACCCTTTGTTTTAGGGTACAAAAGAGACTCCACTCTCAAATACAATTTAAGAACGTTTGTTACGTCTTAAAAGGGACAAAGACATTATGCAGATGAGGGAGGCTATCAACACAAAGTCAAGGTGGCATCTGAGGATTCACAATTGGTAAGCCACATAAATAGGGCATGGAGCAAAGGAAACGGTCACAAATTCATAAACAGTGGCAGATTAATAAGTACATCAGAGTTCTAGGTGGGAGTGAATTTTATAAGCACTCTCTCCCCCAAGTAAGAGATTAAAATATTTCGCTATCATGGAACTCATCAGGCCAAGAGAATAGACTCACAGAGACTGACAATTGAGGTCTTCCAATGAAAATGCCCAAAAATAAATAAAAAGGAAATTCCCAACCAGTACACCCCACAGTGAAGTCCACCAGCTGGCAAGCTCATTCTCATACACATATAATTTAGTCATCTTTTCAGTACTTTATTGTTAAATACAAGCAGATAGCCATAACTCTAACAATTGAGGGAAGTGTCTAACACGCAAAACTGATATTAATTCAAAGTGATATTTTTAAAAGAATCTAAAAGGAATTAAAAGAATGTAGGGAGCAAGAGGAAAAAATAAACTATAATTGAGATCCTCCAAAGAAAAGGGAAATTATTATATTCTTAAATAATCACCAAAAAACCCCAAAACTCCATTTCCATAGAGTTGGTTCTGACTCTTAGCAACCCTGTGGGACAGATTAGCATCACCCCATAACAGTGTAATGTCCAAGGTGGTAACTCTTTACTGCCACATCTTTCCTCCTGGAGTAACGCCTGGATTTGAAACATTGACCTTACAGTTAACAGTCAAACACTTTAACAATGGGCCACAAGGGCACCTTATAAATCAGAACCAAAAATGATGAACCCTTTTCAGGAAATAAAAATAACTCTCGGTGTCTATGTGTTGAGGAGTATGATAGTAGAAAAATTCAATGAAAGGACTGGAAGATAAAGCTGTGACAATATCCTCCAATTAAATGTAGGAGAGAAAGAGGCTCAGGTCAGGTAGACCAACATCTCAAATAATAGTTGTTCAGAAAGAGAAAATGTGTGTGCAACAGTGACAGGGGGGACGGGCAGCAAACTAATTCAAGAAAACTTCCCAGAACTTAAGGACATGCCTTCATAAGAGAACCTACACATTTGTTCAATAATCGATTAAAATACTTATGTCAAGGATATTTCACAATATTAAGAGTTCCTAAAAATGAGAAAGACCCTAAATATTCACAGAAAGTAAAAATAGACCAAATTTTAAAACCAGAAATAAAAATGGAATTGAATTTCTCAGCAGCATCACTGAGGTGAAAGATAAGGGATGAAAAAATTATTTTTAAGAAACATTCTATATTAAGATAAACCATCACCAATTTTGAAGATAGAATGAAAACATTTTGCAAAAGACAAGCTCTCAATGTTTTACTTACTTAATACTCTTTTTCATAAAGCTACTGGAGTATATAGTCCACTACTGAGAGAATGAAGCATAAAATAAAAATCAGGCTCCAAACCAATCAGAAAAAAACACAAGAAAGATAAAGAGACTCCTTGAGATACCAATAAAGTCAGCAGACCTAGGGAGTCCATAGAGTAATAAGACGTCAATGAGTAATGAAATTGATAGATTATCTGATAAGATATTTTAATGTCTTGAGGGAACCCTTATACTTCTAGCTGGATGTTTGGAAAGTAGCTAGTTATGCTTAGGAAGCTGAGCAAGGAAAAGCCCCACGATTTAGTCATTTTAAGTGGTTAATTCTCAGGAAACAAAACAAAAAAGAATAAGGAAAGAATTCTCACTAGATGGTCCAGTTGTGAATACCTGTATAATGAATATCTGTGAATGTCTTATAATCATGTAAACACTAAGTACTGATCAAACAACAAAGGGTTAAGTAGCTCTGTTGGGTGAATGGAATAGTTGAAGTATGTTTGGGGAGAAGGTACAAAAGATCTAAAGCCTCATCTTCAATTGCCAGAAGATTATATATAAAAGTGAAAAAAATTAGCAATTTTAGTCTAAGCATGTTATTTATAACTATGGAAGTAATACCAAAAGAAATCATTTAAAGAATTAAAAATGTTTGCGTCTGTAGAATGAGAATCAGCATTAGTGTGGTGATATAAGCCATTGGCTTATTTAGATTTTTAAAGTACATAAAATATGGCATCATTAATATAACAAAACCCTCTATATCTAAAGAAAACTGTATCCACAGGTATAGAGGTTAGGATTCTAATATATATTTGGGGGGATATAATTCAATCTATAACAGAAAAAGAAAATCCTAATGGGGAAACAAGTGTGTTCTGGGCTCCTACCAACATCTCTCCCAGTCCCCTGTGCTCTTCTATCTTATCACTTATCCCAGTCCCCTGTGCTCTTCTATCTTATCACTTATCTCAGTTTAGGATCACACATCTATTTGTATGAATAATTTCTATTTACTTCCCAAAGGTACAATAAGCTCCATGAGGGCTGCGTCCTCTTTTGTAACTCCATAACCTAATAGCATCCAATACAGATAGCACTCAGATTCCCAGAATCAAGGAAAGGTTGAATGGCGAGCCATTTTACTCATTGTTACTCATAGCTTTATCAGTCTACTAATCCGACCCCAAGTAACTACAGTCAATTCAGAGATGGTAAAGATGGGAGTGGCTTGACTATGCCACAGAGTAACTGCTTCTGTGTAGCTTCCCAATCCAGAGATTAGACCAGAAAAATTAACTGTGAACTCTACTTTGTCTATCATTTTATAGTACTCTCCCTTTATCTTAATGGAGCTACTTCTAAAATGGCCTATGGTAGGCTGTACACCTTATTTTGTTCAGCATCTAAATAGGAGCATTGGACTCAAATTCATCTCTACGCATTCATTTTCTTTTTTAAATTTTTAATTTTTTGTTGTGTATTTAATTTTATTTATTTTTAAAATCTTTTTATTGGGGGTTCTTACAGCTCTTATCACAATATTCATTTTTAATTGAAAGGAACAATGGTCATATCATAAAATGTGCCCTTATAAAAGGGAAACAACCCAAATTGTGATCAAAGTTTCTTCCTTTGTGATTTACAACAACGAAATGGTTATCTTTTATAACTGTGAAACTAACAAGAGCTACTTACTTACTAGTAGTTAGCCCTCATGAGTTTATGGTGTCGTGGGTGCAGTCATACAGTAATTATTCATCACCCTGATGTTAACTCAAAGGTTATAGACAGAAGCCAGGATTTAAGAAACATCCCAAATCTCATCACTTCCCAAATTCCCTGCCATTAGGTTGATTCTGATTCAGCTATTGATCCTAAATAAACATATAAATAAATGAAAATGATCTAAGAATGAAATATGTGTTTGCTATGGACAAGGCACAGAACATGTATCCTATCCCTAATTCCAGCCACATTCCCATTCCTAAACTCCTAGACAAGAGTTAATGATCCACATTTCCTATTAACCTCATCTTTTGATAAGACCTTAAATATCCTATAATTAAAAAGGGCAAATCCTTTCATCATTCCAATAGCTTTCCCTGGGAAATATCATGTGAGTCTCTGGTAAGGTGTTTAGATCCTACTTTAAAACAATGTCTTAGATTATTAATCCAGTTTAGTAAAATTGCTTCTAAGTCCACAAAGTAGCCAACACGATTCAGGAACTGGCCTTCCTACTCCCTGCCTGAGAGGTCAGTACTAAGGATGGCCAGTCCCACACTTTCCCCATGAAGGCACCATCACGTTGTGTATATGTCATGCCAGCAACAGCTAGCTTTCTATGAGTGGAGGATGGAGAATGGAATATCTCAGTGACCTGTAATTGGAAGCCAAAGCCTACAACCAAACTTATTGTAATCAAGTCGGTGCTGACTCACAGTGACTCTATAGTACAGGGTAGAGCTACCCCTGTGAGTTTCCAGGATCGTAACTGTTTGTGGAATTAGAAAGCCCCTGTAGTTTCCAAAGGTGGTTTCAAACAGAAGACTGCAGTTCAAGACATAACCGTTATGCCACCAAGGCTCCCCAAGGGCGGAACCCTAGTAGCTCTAACTTCATTCTATCGTTGTAGAGATGTGCAGTCCCTTGGAGCACAGGCCATCACCCAAGTTATGAATAATAAGCACTGGGTAACCACGCACCATCATATTGTGATGCTGATGAACTGGAAAGGAAGAGAGGAAGCAAACAGATCCTACATCACCTTTCCTGTTCTTTGTCCCCAATTACCAGGCTTTAACAGGTATGGCCATCGACAACCATCTGCTGGCACTGAGGGAACTGGCCCAGGAAGTATGCACAGAGCTGCCTGAAATGTTCACAGAGGAAACGTACTTGATGAGCAATCATTTTGTCCTGTCCACCAGCCAGGTATGTATGCTCTAAGGGGACATAATTCAGCCCCTCACTCATGTAAACCTTACCTCTGCTTCTTAGGAGTCATGTGACTTCAGTCAAATGATTTAAACTCTCATAGCACTTGGGTCCCCACCTCCTCTATGCCTTAAACATGATGCTGTATGCCTTTCAAACTATGACCTGAGAGATAGCATGACATCATGATGACCATAGGCTCTGAAGTCCCCCAGGCAGGGGGTGAAGTCCTGTCTCAACTAGATGCAACAGTTTGGGTAGAAAGCCCAGTACTCTGCCTGGCTGGACAAGGCCTTCCCAATCTGAGGCATTATTAAAAAGGGTGAGACAACCAACAGCCTGGAAAGACGAGCCTCCGAGCCCAATGTCCTAATAACAGAAAGAAGTCTATTAGTAAGAAGGAGCAGTTTAGGAAAGGAAATAAACCAGTTAATGTGGAGTAGATTCCAATTCATGCTGACTCCATGTGATTCAGAGTAGAGTGTGTTCTATAAAGTCTTCAGTAGCTATGATCTTTCAGAAGCAGATCTCCTGACCCTCTTTTATAGGCACCTCTGGTGGATTTGAACCTGTAGCCTTTTGAGTTGCAGTGGGTATGTAAACATTTTACACCCAGGGACCCCTCAGAAATGGAGTGCCCCCACTGTAACTGATTGAAATTCCTTCTCTTCTAGAAAAGGCTGAACTGGGCAATCAAAAAGGCCGATAAAACTGTGTCCTCTCAGTAATTCAATTTTGTCAGGGCAGCAGTGAGCTTGCAGACATGAATGAAAGGGGACATCTACAACAATACAACATCAATTCTGTAGGAAATCATCCATGGGCAAAGGATGCTGCTGAAAGGCTTTATGGCCTGAGGCTGTTACGACAAATTTATCTAACAGTGCAGTGGCTCTATTAGCAAGACTAATGGCTTGTTCTGCCCCATTAAAATAGTCAGAGTCACTTCCAAAAGCCCAAGTGCACACCACAATCCTGTGTTTAAAATAAAACCTAGCCCAACACCTGCCTATTAATAGTTTTCTTCCTTGGAAGAGCTAATAAATTTAATTTTGAGTGGTAGGGTTTTTCCAACTTATGATTTGAATGCCTTCAGAAATGTATTTCCTTGGTTTGTGATTCTAGATTGCTATATCTCAGAGTTGTGAATACAAAGCATATTAGGCACATCACTAAAACTCCAGTTAAAGGCAATCTTCGAAATCCCCAATGCTGGGTAATTGTGTGTGGCCAAGCTGTGGGAGGAAATCAGACTAGCTAAGCAAACCTGGCAGTAATTAAGGATCAGGGGAAAGCAACAGAAATGATAGGCCCGATTACCTCCACTTTTTAAATGACTCCCTCTGGGAAGTTATTTAACTGGTGCAATCGGGGGGCCATTTAGTAGATTACCTGAATAGCCTCTGTGCCTCAAATGGTCCCCAGGTAAAGGAAACTTTCAGCCCAGATCCTGGGAGCCAGACAGCAGGTGGAAGGTGTGATCGACTCTAGGGAGTGGGCTTGTTGCTCTTCTTCCTCTGATCTCATGCAGATGAACATCTAAAAGATAAATTAGAAGGGCTTCTATTTGTGACAAAAATTGTACCCATTTGTGCTTCAGCAAGTGGTAGATTGGGCTAATTCCGTCAGGCATACAGGTGGGAAAGCGCTATGAGAGGAACAAATGGGAAGTTGATGCTTCCAGGTTGTGTGATCAGCCCTTGTCCTTGGAGACCCTCATGTTCACTGAGTACTTCATGTTGTCTAAACACCCTGAGCATCTGAGTATTGTCGCCTGAGCACCCACATCATTCGAATACTCCACATTGTCTGTGTGTCTTACATTGTTACTGTATCCAGCAGTCTTTCTGGCTGTCAGGTTACATTTCAGAACAAGCACCCCTGCCCTGTCTTCCCATCCAGGTACCTACAAACATGGAGATGTTTTGCTGTTATGGCCCCGTGGTTCCCAATGGGTATGGTGCCTGCTACAACCCGAAGCCAGAGAGCATCCTCTTCTGCATCTCCAGTTTTCACAGCTGCAAAGAGACCTCTTCTAGCAAGTTTGCAAAAGCAGTGGAGGAAAGCCTGCTTGAAATGCAAGAACTCTGCCTCCTTCCCGCTCCTACTGTGAACAAGCCACTGACAGACAAGGGGAAAAAGGCTGCAAAGCCTGGCTTCTGACTCCGCTAGGCTTCAGTTTCACTTCCCTCACCTTCCATAGTCTGCAGCTACCAGGCCCTTCCAAACCTCTGCTCACCCCTTCATCTTAGCTTTCTGCAGTCTTCCAATTCTCAGACCCAAATCAGAGACTACACCAAGGCAGTTTTAAGAGATAGGTGTCTTTCTTATGCATGGACATTGCCATTCCTTGTGGAGATGCCCTCTGGCCTTAGGAACTGGAAAGAAAGTCCAGTGATGGAGGAAGTGGCAAGTAAGCTCAAGTTATGAAGGCAGGGCTTGTCCTGGCTCCTCTGGTAGCCAAATGTACCTGCTCCTCATCCAGCCAGGCAGAGCATGTGCAGGTGAGGTTTTTGCGCAAGAAAAGAATGAGTCACCCTATTATAGGGGGAGTTGTTTTCACATTCTCAGCATGCTGATCTTCAGGGTGAGTTCTACCATGAGTTGGAATCAACTCAGTGGCCATGGGTTCCAAGTCTGCATGCACAGTACTACTGGCCACGCTGTGAAAGAAAGCTGTACAAGGCAGGCTTCACATGAGTCAAAAAGTTGGGCCATGCTGTTCTGAAAGGGAAGACACATCGTCTGCTGCTGTTCCAGAAGTATTGGGAGTTACTGTTCTTCTTCACTCTCTCAATGAGCTGAGGCACACAGCCAAGGACAGATGGAGAGGAGTATACCTAGCCCCAGCAGAAGGCACCTTGTGGGCACAAGGGCCCTGCCACTGCACTCTTTTTGGTTATTTTCCCAAACCCCTTCCCACAAAACATGCTTCATTGGTGGTCTATTTTTTTTTCCAATGGAGCAGGGAAAGGTTTGCTTTGGGGTTTCTTTAGGTCGGTGGGGGGAGATGTAGAAGGCAATGTTTTGTTTCAAAACAAACCATTATGGCATAAATTTCAGGAAAAAAACTACCACAGTGACTTTAGCATCTTAATGGATTAAAGGAGGCAGGTTCTTGCCTGGTGAGGGCAGGCTAAACAGCAGTGGCTGGGAGGAGGGGATGGCCAGGCCAGTGTGAGCACTGACTGGGGGCACCCTGTAGGTCTGAAGCTGAGGGTGGAGTGGACAGTTCAGAGAGAGTCACATGGGGTTGGTCCTCAGGGACTGTAACTGCAGAGGATACTTCCTACAGGGACATATTTTCATGGGAAGTCTAAAAGGTCAAGGGAAAGGGAGTAAGGAAGCAACAAGGAAAGTAAAATTTCTCCAAAGGGCAGCCTGCAACTACCTAGAGATGGTACAGAGGCATCACAGCCACTACTGGGAGTTCTAATAGGCTCTTGCATGGGAGGCCTGACCTTCTAATTCTACCATGCTCTATGCCATTCTGAGCATGACCCCTAGCCCAGGAACCTGCAGGTGCCTCTTTTTTCAGACACTGTGAAAGCGCTCTGCACTTTGATCTGAATGAAGCTGGTGGGACTGAGGTGGGGCAAATATTTTGATCTCTGCTTAGCTCTTTGAAAACACAAACAGTTCCAACCAATAAACTTCTTAAGCCCAGGTTTTTTATTTCAGGCTCAAAGAGAGTACAGAACTAAGATTTCTATTAGACAATCAGGGAGCTTTTAGTATTGTCCTTCAAAGGTATCCACCTTCCCCCTGCCCTGGAGAAGTTGCCACTAAATGTCTAGGGTGTGTGTGTGTGTGTGTTTGGCGGGGAGGGGGTGTAGATGGAGCAAACAGTTGGAGGGGGGCAAGGTGGTGTCTGGAAGTCATTGTCTCACTGCCATACACTTGTTTATACTTTTACCAAATGACCAGATGGAGGCCTGAGCTGGATTTCTGGGTAGGCAGAAAGCTCAGGTTCTAGAGGCAGGAAGTCTCACTGGCTTATGCTAAAATCAAATAAACCAAAAAAACTGAAATAGAGTTGATAGGACTTACATGCTCAGAGACTCATTTCCCCTCATTGCTAAATGCAGAAAAGAATGGTATTTTCTTTTCAAGGTCCTTAGGAGCAAGTAATCGTAGATGAAGGACCTTGTACCAGAGAGCAGGTAGAGGCGCCTACCCTTAGGGGGATGACTACCCTTTCAGGGACATTTCAATTATTTTGCCAAATTCCTCTCCAAACAGTAACTCTTTCTGTATATTCCAAGATTAAACCATGCACTGTGAGGACTTCTGAGAACTTTTAGAAGTGTGGCTGGCAGAAACTTGTCAGGAGGGAACATTCCCTCTCTCTGAGAAAAAAGGTTGGAAGCTGGTCTTCCTCCTTCAGGAATAGGCAGTGAGGCTTTATGCAAAGATAATGCTGAGCCGTGGTTATGGGTATTTCTGTGGGCTCCCCAATAAAGGAGACTGTTTCAGGGGTCCTCAAGGATATGGAAAAATGAAACTTACTGAAGGTCATTTCAGAACTGTGATGTATAATAAGAATATACAAGTTGCCAAAATACATAAAGTTGATATTTCAGTTTTATTTTCATAAATAGATCTAGATTTATGGCAATATGTAGAAGTGTATTTATAGTTTATCAAGCTCAAGGTATCATTTTGCATTTTAAAGAAATGTGTATATGATTAAAGAACTATATATCAGAAGCATTATATTCAAATTATTTAAAGAATATAGCCTGAACTCAATAAAAAGTAATGCCAAGAAAGATTGTTTTGGTCATTGTTTCTCCCAAAATGTTGTTTTTTTTATTGTGTAGTCTAAAGTTGCCCAACAATTCATTTGATTTTAAGTGGTGTCAGCCAGCAGCAGTAGTGCATATGTCTTAGAAATCCAGGGATGGGCTGAGAAAAGGGAGAGGGAGACTTATTGAAACTTTGCTATCATATGGCATGACGCCATGGAGCAGATAGGGATAAAAGAAGAGGTTTCATGGGATGTTTGTGATAAGGCTGGCAGACACCTGTCCTTAGAAATAGATGTCTCTACCTAAGTCTGCCCAAGGCAACATGGACTGGGGGGAGAAGGGAAGCTGGGAGACCAGATACCTAGACCATCCATCCAGTTGTCCCTCCAATTTGCTAAGGACTTTGGGTAAGTCATTTCATCTCTTTAAGTTGGAGCTCCTCCATTTAGAAAATGAAGTATTGTCTGTACAATCTACTTCCAAAAATGTGCTGAGATGATGCGAGATGGACATTATTGGAAGTAATAAAAAAAAAAATCTAGCGTTCTTGACTTCTAGCAATATAGCAGCTAGACAAATGCGCTGCACAGACCCTCTACAAAAAAGATGTGAGAGAACAGATACAGTTGAAAATACTGGTGCCCTGAGCCTCTAGATAAGTAAACAGAATACTGACTGAGAGAAAAAAAAGTTGAATATATACCATAAAAGTAATGGGCAAATCTTGACTGACCTGCCAATGGGCCTCAATCAAAATCAGCTCCACTCACAGCACAGGGCACTCTCTAGTGGTTGGCAATGAGAACAGTGGATCTCTTCTTGTTCCTCACACCATCCTGGTGAACAAAGGTGTGTCTAGCCCCCATTCTCCCACACCCAGTGGTTGATTACATGTCTCCTTCAATTCAATACCCTTGGGGCAATGGAACACTCTTAGAGGAAAAATAAGCAGATTAGAAGAAAACTGCAGCACAGCATGACCTTGATAAACTCCAGGCACACTAACATGAGAGGGGCATGGGATCCTTTTTTGGTCCCCCAAACTTCCTGTTGACCAGAAGAGTGACCAGCCTCTACCCTCACACACCTCACAGCCAACTACAATGCCCCAGCACACCCTCAGGGTTATAGAACACAGGCAACAACAACAACAACAAAAAGATCTGGAGTGACCTGCATTGAGGTTGACTTTGATAAGTGTACACTAGTGAGTGACAAAGAGAAAGAAGTTGCTTACTCTGATCTGAAGTGTGATTTTTTTATTTTTGTTTTTAATTTCTTGCCCCAGCAGATAGAGACAACTGACCAAGCTGCCCTCCCTCATACTTCCAACAGCTACACTCATTTGGCAAGGATTACCCGCCACTCTAGTGCCACCTGATCATCAGTAAATACAACAATACCACAATGTCATGGAGACAGAAAACAATTTCAGTTCATAGAAAGAAATAAGCTAGAATGGCACAAACTCGTGATCAATATACATAACAAAAGGAGCTTCCTGAGAAAGAAAGGACAGACGTTGAAACTACAGGAGAAGGAATTCAGAACAATGGTACTTAGGGGTCTTCAGTGGGTTGAAAGAATGATTGCGATCACTGCAGACAAGATCAAGGGGGTGGGGCGGGGAATTAGAAGAATTTAGGGAAATACTACATGAACAATTTAACAAAATAAATGAAAAATTAGAAATCATACAAAAATAGCAAATAGAAATACACAAGATTAACACAACAGACCAAGTACTATTCACTAAAATGTATAGAATCCTGAAATATCTCGATAAGAAGAAAACAATCCAATTTAAAAGTGGGCAAAAGGACATGAGCAGATAACTCACTAAAAAAGACACTCAAATGGCTAACTGGCTAACAAACACATGAGAAAATCCTCATCATCATTAGCCATCTGGGAGATGCAAATCACAATAACAATGAGATATCACTTTATACTCATAATGATAAGCCAATTCAGAAAAAAAAGAAAGATCAAACAAATGTTGGAAAAGGTGCGCGAGAGATTGGAACTCTTATATATACTTCTGGTGTGTATATGTGTGTGTGTGTGTATATATATATATATATATATATATACAACTTTTGTGGAAAGTTATACAGCGATACCTAAAACAATTGGCAATAGAAATACCATACGACCTAGCAATACTTCTCCTAGGCATAGACCTCAAAGAAATAAAAGACAGAACGCAAGCAAACATATGCTCTCCCATGTTCATTGCAATGCAGTTCACAATAGCAAAAAGTTGGAAACCATCCAAATGCCCACAGTTGAAGAACAGATAAAGGAATTCTGGTACATAGTGGATTACTATGCATCCCTAAAAATTAGTGAAGAAATAGAAAACACCTCATGATATGAAAGGATCAGGAAACAATTATGATGAGTTACAATAAACTATACATTATCCCCTTCTTACAACATGTTATGGGGGTGGGGGGGAAGATCAATTAGTCCCTACCACATAACCGTGTTTGGTTGTTATTTCAAATCAATAGGCAACCCTACAAGAATAATTAGTGAATTTTACGGGGAAATTAGATTGAGTCAGGCAGTGAGTGTGCAGGAAAATGTCTTTATTAGAGAAAGCAATTGCAGTTTTGATGGTAGGAAAGATAAGCGGGGCACACCACCATTGACAAAAATAAATTAACATTACTTAGAAAATACCGTTGGGAGAATATGCCTGGTATTATGTTCCTAACTTGACACTTTTGATCAAGTTTCTAACCAACTCCTGGTAATCCAGGCAGCATCCTACAGATGACTGAGACTTTGAACTCTGTCCTTTCAAGATAAACAACATCCTTCTTTTTTTTTTTTTTTTTTGAGTTGTTTTGTTTTTTTTTTTTTTTTTTGGGGAGC